GTCAGTGGGAGGAATAATACCCCTTTGGTGGAGTCAGTGTGAGGTATAGTGCCGTATCGGTGTCAGTGGGAGGAATAATACTCCATTGTTAGTGTCAGTGTGAGATATAATGTCCTATTTTTGGTGTTAGTGGGAGGAATAATGCCCTATTTTTGGCGTCAGTGGGAGGGATAATGTCCCATTGTTGGCGTCAGCGGGAGGAATAGTGCCCCATTGTTGGTGCCAATGGGAGAAATAGTGCCCCATTGTTGGTGCCAATGGGAGGAATAATACTCCATTGTTGATATCAGTGAAAGGTATAGTGCCCCATTGTTGGTGTCAATGGTAGAAAAAGTGCCACATTGTTGGTGTCAGTAGCAGAGATTATTCCCCATTGTTGGTGTCAGTGGGAGGAATAGTGTCTTGTATCACTGGGCAGTAAAGTGCCCCAAGGGCTGTATAAAGGCAAGCAAAGGGTTTAATCCAACCCCTGCACCACAGTTTGGAGACCACTTAAGTAGTAGTACACTTCCTGGCATGTGAGTGTGCCTACATACTCATATGACTGAGCTTTATAGCTGTATATCTGCAGTATAAGATCATCTAAGGCACTTCTGCCTCTGACTGCTAGTCTCGGGAAATGTGCTGTGAGATTTGGTGATATCACTACTGTGCTTGCTGGGGAGAAAGCTGTAGCTGAGAGCTTGCAGCGCAAGTATCTTCCTGCTTCTGCTTCATTTATTACAGTATGTACTTCTTTCAGTTCCTCTCCGGCTGCTTCTTGAAAAATCCCCCATAAGTGAAGAGTTCAGCAGCCAGCAGGGGGCAAAACAAAATCCTGCCTTTATCAAGATGGCTGCTTACACATAGAGACACAGTCCAGACCAAGGTATGGTAAGTCAGCAATGGGGAAAATATCATCTACAGGGAGACTGCAGGCAATACTAGTGACTAGTCCTTTGCATGCCTGTTTTGAGACCGCTTCTACAGGTCATGGTCCCACCCTGGTGTTGGGTGAAGTGCATCAATAGAGGCTCTAGGCAGGGTTGGGCTTTGCTAGTCTGGATCAATAAAGCTGTTTAAAGGCGTTTGAATATCTGTGTGCGGCGGTACACAGATGTTTTAAATCTAGTATAACAGCATTAGGTATGAATTCTCGTAAAAGACAATACAAGAGATCTGCAGTAAGAACTCTTTGAAGAAATCTTGTATTGAGAGAGAGCAATAGTAGCTTCCACTACTGAAGTCTACTTCTGAAAATGTTAGTTGTCTGCCTCTCAAAAGGATTAGGCTTGTTCTGGATCTGGAACAAAAGAACAATGAAATTCTGATTTCAGTCTGACTTTACTAGCCACATAATTCTTCTGGGTCAGGATTTTCAAAATGAGGTCGACAATGCAAGTCACCATATTTGTCTCTTGACAGGTTTCCTTATAGTGAACCTCAAGCGCTGTGCTTGGCTTCCAATGGACTGACGCACTTTATAGTGGATTTAGCATTGGGCATAATTCATGTTAAGTGCACAGATGTTACTTAATATGTGTAACACTTCCAGGTATTTATTATCTCTCACCAAGATCGCATTGTTTTACCCTGACAATGCCTTTATTTGCTTTTCTCTACTAAAGGATAGCACCCACCATCTTTGTTCAAGATATCATCCAAGATCAGCTTACATTTTCTGGACTGAGATGCTAGCTCAAAGGTGATACAATCTTGGTTCCTGTGCAGTGCATGGCTGGATTCACAAATGTCACATATCAACCCCTGCTGCAACCAGGGCCGCCCAGACTGCAGCAATGGGGAGGGTGGGGGGATTCTCACCATACACAAGCTCCAGATCAGTGGCTAGCAACCACCGGACTGCTCAGACAGCTACTACTGCCACACTGCTGTGTTCCCAATCTTTGCTCAGAACGAGCATTTTCAAATGACTTCTAGTTGCTAGAAAGCAAGCAATCGGCGATGCATGTGCAGTGCACACTCCAAGCCATCCGAAGCAAGGGAGCAGAACTGGTGCAGAGTGCTTCACCCTATTCTACCATGTGCATTAGGAATCGAAGAGGGGGCACAGTCTCTGATCCTTGCCCTGGGAGCTGAACCAGCCTATCCCAGTACTAGCTGCAATCAGAGATGAATCTAAGGGGGTGCTGGGGTGGACTGTGTCCCCTCCAGATTTTAGTTGCTCCCCCCCAGTCCCTGAGAATGCATCTACTGATCCCTGAGCCAGTCTGATTCAGATGGTTGATGTAATGGGGCACACTGATGGGGACAATCCATGTAAGGGGAAGCGATGATGGGGACAGTATTGTAAGGGGCGCTCTTACAGGGACATCTGATATAAGAGGGCACTCTGATCAGGTAATCTGACTTAAGGGGGCACTCTGATGGGGACCCTGATGTAAGGGGGCACTCAGATCAGGACTTCTGATGTAAGGGGCACTCTGATGGGGACCCTGATGTAAGGGGGCACAGGACATCTGATATAAGGGGGCACTCTTATCAGGACATCTGATGTAAGGGGGCACTCTGATGAAGACCATGATGTAAGGGGGTACTCTTACGGGAACCTAATGTAAAAAGGAACTTTGATTAGGACTCCTGATGTAAAGGGGGACTCTGATAGGAACATCTGATAAGGAAGCACTGGTTCTGTTTAATCACTCTGATATAATGACAACCTAATACTTAATAATGTTGACATTATTCCCCCTGACTTTTTTTTTTACTGCACCCCAGATCAGATAGGCTAGATCTGGCCCTGGCTGCTGCAGCCCTCACCTTGTGACTTGATGCAAAGTTAGAATGCTGCAGTGTGATCACTGGAGGAGAGGAGACTGAGGAAATGGATTGTTCTGACCTGCAGCAGATTGATTACATCATCTCAGCCTAGGCAAATTCATTTCCCAGAGATCCAGGACTGCTCGTTACCAATTCCACTTTTCTAAAACATGACAGTGATGAACTTTGTTTTGGAACATCAGCAATTCATTAATGCAGACTTGTAGAGTTGCTGAAAGATCCAAACAAATCAATTCAGTTACTGCACATGAGAACAATTGTCTATTATTCTCATAAAATGAAACGTTTAATATTAGTATCCTATTATCATTATTTTTTTCTCACTTCCATGCGCTATGGGGTTACAATAAATACATTTTCATCCACTTTTAGAAATGTACCTGCTATGTTTATTAGTTCAGTGTTTGTAAAAGTGCTAAAGCTCATTAATGATCCCCCCCCGTGAGGAGTTATGAGGTCTCCAGCAGATCTTTCACATGTCAGGATTGGAAATTCACACAAGCACACTTCTGGGACAACACAGGCTCAGCATTTCGGTGAAGTTTAATCTGACAGTCTAACTTTTGAAGATAAAAACTAATAAGCTTGTTGGACGGGTGATCTGAGTAAATACAAGATGGCATGCAGATGTTATCCTTAGAAGAGAAAATGAATGCTGGCACAGCACAGGAGTACACCGACTTGAAGATTTCCCAGCTGGAAAAAAAAACTGATTGATAATTGATTAGGCACATCACAAGTTGTTATATATTTGAAGAGTAGGGATTGATGTTTTTACACACTGTTTATTTTTGAATATTTTGAAAATTGGGAGAAAATACATCTGTATATCATAATGTATTTTTAGGGTCCAGCTTTCAAAGATGAGGTGTATAATATACTATTTTAATCATAGAGTAGTGATGTCACCTCATTCCATAAAACATATCTGCTGAACGTTTTAGTCAAATGTCACAGCTCTATATTACACATAGTTTCATTTCTTTTTACATACCGTATTTTTTCGCTCCATGGGACGCACCTGACCATAAGACGCACCTAGGTTTTAGAGGAGGCACAAAATGTTGCGCACTGTGGACAAAGCAAATCTAAAAAAAAATATTCTGAACCAAGACTTCAGACCATAGTCCACAGGAGATGACCAGAGACTGCAGACATAGTAACAGAAGATGACCAGAGACTGCGGACACAGTACAGGAGATGACCCCAGAGACTGCAAATACAGTACAGGAGATAACCAGAGACTGCGGACATAGTGCAGGAGATGACCAGAGACTGCAGACATATTACAGGAGATGACCAGAGACTGCAGACACAGTACAGGAGATGACCAGAGACTGCAGACATACTACAGGGGATGACCAGAGACTGCGGACAGTACAGGAGATGACCAGAGACTGCGGTAACATTTTATTTATCCGGAGTGACAGAAAGGACTGCGGACAAACTTTTGTCCAGGGATGACCAGAGACTGCGGAATTTGCTTTCTTTCCTCACAGATGACACCAAGGGACTGCAGGTTAATGCAATAGTTTGAAATATCAAGGGATGCCAGAGACTGCGGACATAGTAAGGGAGATGACCAGAGACTGCGGACACAGTACAGGAGATGACCAGAGACTGCGGACACAGTACAAAGAGGAGATGAACAGAGACTGCGGACATAGTACAGGAGATGACCAGAGACTGCGGACATAATACAGGAGATGACCAGAGACTGCAGACATAGTATAGTAAGGAGATGACCAGAGACTGCGGACACAGTACAGGAGATGAACAGAGACTGCGGACACAGTACAGGACAGTACAGGAGATGACCAGAGACTGCAGACATAGTACAGGAGATGACCGGACACAGTACAGGAGAGACTGACTGCGGACATAATACACAGGAGATGACAGAGAGATGACCAGAGACTGCGGACATAGTACAGGAGATGACCAGAGACTGCGGACATATTACAGGGGATGAACAGAGACTGCGGACATTTTACACAGGGGATGAACAGAGACTGCGGACACAGCACAGGAGATGACCAGAGAGATACAGGGGATGAACAGAGACTGCGGACATTTTACAGGAGATGAACAGAGACTGCGGGACACAGTACAGGAGATGACCAGAGACTGCAGGACATATTACAGGAGATGACCAGAGACTGCGGACATAGTACAGGAGATGACCAGAGACTGTGGACATAGTACAGGAGATGACCAGAGACTGTGGACATAGTACAGGAGATGACCAGAGACTGTGGACATAGTACAGGAGATGACCAGAGACTGTGGACATAGTACAGGAGATGACCAGAGACTGCAGACATATTACAGGGGATGAACAGAGACTGCGGACACAGTACAGGAGATAACCAGAGACTGCGGACATAGTGCAGGAGATGACCAGAGACTGCAGACATATTACAGGAGATGACCAGAGAGACTGCAGACATATTACAGGAGATGACCAGAGACTGCAGACATATTACAGGAGATGACCAGAGACTGCGGACACAGTACAGGGGATGACCAGAGACTGCAGACATATTACAGGAGATGACCAGAGACTGCGGACATATTACAGGGGATGAACAGAGTTTTTTCAGCAATGCACAGATGTACAGTTTGTGAAAAACAGCTCAGGGTTTGGTATAACAGTCCACAGTCAGTCTATGGGGGGACATACCTGGCCAGCGGTGCTCAGCATCCTCTCTGAGGTCCGGGGGCGGGGCTCCCACTCACATCACAACTTCTACTACAGCAGCTCCCTCTCGAGCATACAGGCTGCATGGGGAGTGGTCAGTGGAGATTCTAGACCTGGCCCCGCCCCCTCCCTTCTGGCTGGTCCAGTATTCTAACACATGGGGGACAGGGGGGAGGGGTTGTCAATATTCGCTCCATAAGATGCACAGACATTTCCCCCCATATTTTTGGGGGATAAAAGTGCGTCCTATTGAGAAAAAAAATACGGTAGTTAATGTAGCCGAAAAAAGACAAAAGTCCATCCAGTTCAACCAAAAAAAAAAAAAGTTATAATCCTACACCCACAGTTGGTCCAGAGCAAGGCAAAAGAAAACAGTAAAGCATGATCCAATTTGCTCCTGAAGGGGGAAAAACATATCCTTCCTGATCCCCCGAGTTGCAGAATAATGCCAAAACCATATCATATAATTGCAGCATAGTGATTTCACAGCTGTATAATATATCAGCAGAATAGTTCAAAAGAATAAGTTGTAATTGCACAACAGATAAGGATTTTAAGGTGGAAAACCTAGAAAAAAAAACATTTTCAGATAGGTGTTATTGTGAAAATGTGATCAATTAAGCCTCTAGGCCCTTAAGCCCCATTCACACTTTGCGTTGTGGGGAACCAGGGGCGGACTAACCATTTGGAAACTCAGGCACTGCCCGAAGGTCTGGGGTCAGTAGGGGGCCCCATGAGATGTCCCTGGTACCTTTTTCATAGGCTTTTTTGAGTTTGGGCAAGGGCACAGGGCCCCATGATCCCCTATTGTACGGGGGTCCCATACGTTGTCAGTCCGCCCCTGGTGGGAACTCATGATCAATGGGTGATTTTCACATGATGTTAGGTGCCATGCATAGGGCAGCCCATTTGCTTGAAATGAGCTCAGGGACCAAATTTTGGCCCTGAACCAGGCACCTTATTACACATGTGTTTTGTTGCGATTCTCACTCGTTTTGTCTCATGACAATCACTGCAAATACTCTGCATTTGGGGTGCCATTAGGTATAAATGACACCCAAATGCTCGTTGCACCTTTTGCCATAATTTCAGACCGATTTGGAATTGCAGGCAGAATTGCACTGAATCTGTCTGCAATTTTAAATTACCCAAATGTGATTGGGGTTTAAAAGCTTGCATAGAGTCAAGGTTTGACTGTCAGAAAATGAAAAAATAAAGATACGAAATAAAGAAATACCGTATATTACTACTTATTAGGACAATTGTTGGTGTTTGTTACTTAAAGACCCACAAAAATAAATATTCCAAATAAGCCATCATTATTCTAAGAGGGGCTTTAAAAAATAGAGAATTTTATTAATAAAAATAGCAATAAGGACACAGAATTGCCTATAAGATTTAGGTGGTAGTTACAGATATATGTGAAGCAACTGATTGTTGCCCAACTATAAAGGAATGGTACATTGGAAATGACCTCCAGTGTGGCAACTTTACTACTGGCCAATTACCAAATATTTAGATTGTAATACAGAATATGATATATATAAATATATATACAGTTGCAAGAGAAAGTATGTGAACCCCTTGGGATTACGTGGAGTTTTGCATGAATTGGGCATAAAATGTGCTCTGAACGTCATCTAAGTCACAACAATAGAAGAACACACGGTCTGCTGAACATAATACTACACAAACATTAGATGTTGCCATGGTTTAATTGCATATAACATGTAAACATTCACAGTGCAGGGAGGAAAAAAGTATGTGAGGCCCTAGCTTAATTACTTCTCCCAGAGCTAATTGGAGCCAGGAGTGAGCCAACCTTGACTCCAATCAGTGTGATGATATTGGATGTGTTGCTGACAACTGTCCTGCCCTTAAAAAACACACGCCTGTTTTGAGTTTACTGGTTTCAAGAAGCACTGTCTGATGTGAACCATGCCTCGCAGAAAAGAGCTCTCAGGAGACCTACGATCAAGAATTGTTGACGTGCATGAAGCTGGAAAGGGTTACAAAAGTATCTCCAAAAGCCTTGATGTTCATATGTCCACGGTAAGACAGACTGTCTACAAATGGAGAAAGTTTAGCACTGTTGCTACTCTCCCTAGGCGTGGTCGTCCTGTAAAAATGACTGCAAGAGCACAGCGCAGAATGCTGCATGAGGTAAAGAAGAATCCCAGAGTGTCAGCTAAAGACCTACAGAAATCTCTGGCACATGCTAACATTTTTGTTGACACATCTACAATAAGGAAAACATTAAACAAGAATGGAGTACATGGGAGGACACCACGGAGGAAGCCATTGCTGTCCAAAAAGAATATTGCAGCATGTTTGAAGTTTGCAAAAGAGCACCTGGATGTTCCACAGCACTACTGGCAAAATATACTGTGGACAGATGAAACCAAGATTGAGTTGTTTGGGAAGAACACACAAACACTATGTGTGGAGAAAAAAAGGCACAGCACACCAACATCAAAACCTCATCCCCACTGTAAAACATGGCGGAGGGAGCATCATGGTTTGGGGCTGCTTTGCTGCCTCAGGGCCTGGACGGATTGTTGTCATTGATGGGAAAATGAATTCCAGAGTTTATCAAGACATTTTGCAGGAAAACGTACGACCATCTGTCCGCCAACTGAAGCTCCGCAGAGGATGGGTGATGCAACAGGACAATGACCCAAAGCATACAAGTAATTCAACCAAACAATGGCTGCAACAGCACAGAATACGCCTTCTGGAGTGGCCCAGTCAGAGTCCTGACCTCAACCCGATTGAAATGCTGTGGCATGACCTTAAGAGAGAGATTTACACCAGACATCCCAAGAATATTGCTACACTGAAACAGTTTTGTGAAGAGGAGTGGTCCAAAATGACTCCAGATTGTTGTGCAGGTCTGATCTGCAACTACAGGAAACGTTTGGTTGAGGTTATTGCTGCCAAAGGAGGGTCAACCAGTTATTAAGTCCAAAGGTTTACATACTTTTTCCTCCCTGCACTGCGAATGTTTACATGTTATGTGCAATTAAACCATGGCAACATCTAATGTTTGTGTAGTATTATGTTCAGCTGACTGTGTTCTTCTATTGCTGTGACTTAGATGACGTTCAGAGCACATTTTATGCCCAATTCATGCAAAACTCCATGTAATCCCAAGGGGTTCACATACTTTTTCTTGCAACTGTATATATATATATATATATAAAGAGTGCCCATGCAATCTTTAGGTGGTTTTTGTAGGTAAACCCATTAAAAAATGTAAATGTTGATTTAATAACATAGATCTCATATAAAATTAAGGTTCCTGAAACAGGGTATCTCAAGACAATGTGCAATGCACCATAATAGAGGGGCTTCTAGCAATCAACCACTTCAACATTCCTGAGATCAAGATTTTTTTTTTTCCAACATTATATCATATAGAAACAATGTGGATACATAAATATGAAATATAAACATAAAAATAAATATGTTGATACCAGATGAATTAAATTAAACTATTGAGAAATGATGTATTAAGCATCATGTTTATTTTTGGCACATTGAAGCCAAAAAATTATTCATTACTTTATTTCATTTGCATATACTGTATAGTCATTTCACAAATAGTTATTTTCTTTATTTTTCCACATGTATCTATTAGTACTTATTAGGGATGAGATTCGGGTTCAAGTCAACCATAGGTTCTACTAAGCTGTTCTTGGTTTGCTGAATGGGTGAGCTAAATGGACAGATTTGGCTAGTTTGTCCACTTGTCAAAACTTTTGGCTGCTGCAAATGGAAGTCATCCATTTTTTGGGCCATAGCTTCCGGCTGCCTATCTGCAAGCTTGGTTCAAATTGTAAACAAGCCAGCGGGAATCCTGGTCATGGCCATATTTTGTCAATGTCAGCCAACACCATATCCCACTTTGCTGACGTTTAATAGAAGGCCCAGGAGCTGCCAGTGGTGGCTAGAGTCTGGAAGGAGAGGATCATCAATGTAGGTCCTTGGGACATTGTTCAACATAATTGAGGAGGCTTCCAGATTCTGAGTGGTTATTCACATCTCCCGTTTTGTTTAAAAACAGAAGTGGGCAAGAAAAGAACTATCATTTAGGGGCAATAGTTTTTTTAATCTTTAAATGTATCTCTTGCTGTAGTACAACCTACAGGTGCACCACTTCACATGCAGGTTTAGGACATCCTCAAGCATGTTATTTAATGTAATTGTGTATTTCTGATGTTGCCCTTTACTTTTATTAAAAGACCCACTTCCCACTGAATGATATAAATGTTCTGGGGGTTTTTTTTTGCATACATACTTCCCATTGTAGTGCCCAGCTATTCATGTGCTTCTTTTAACCAAAATCTTGAAAATTGGTTCCATTTACAGCACTATAATTACAGGATTTTTATATAAGGTTTAAATGTTTGTTGATTAGTTATATATGTTTCTTGTTTAATTTTGCCACCAGGAGCCTATTCCACTTTCATTGAGATTCCTATGTCAGCATCAGACGCTGGATGGCAGGTCTTTCAGTGTTCCTTTCTATTGGGGTTTGTGATGTTGACAATTTCTGCTATGATTTTTTTTTTTTATTTATATAGGTTTTGTTTTTTATTTTATTTTGTTTTGCTTTTAGTAAAGGGCCCAGGGATCAGTGGGAAAAGCCCCGGCCAAGAGCCAGGGGAGGCCTTTATGGTCTGAGTATTGTAGTAGCAACTAAAGATAAAAAATCTTTTTTCTAGAACAATCCGAGCAAAGTCCCCTCACCAAGACTGAGCTCTTCAGGACATCAGAACAATGTCCCCCCTATACACACAGCTGGCTACCCAGCAACAGGGGGAAGGGTGGCAACAGCCCACAGACTGTAGCATTGCTCACACCAGTCTGTACTCACAAATGCTTTCAGATGTTGGTTGTCTCCTGCTAACATCCTCCGGATACCCTTGCCAGTGACACCAGGATCGGTCTTTAGACAACAGCCCCTCAGTCGGCTTCCAGTGACTTTCAGCAACCAGGCCCCTTAGCTAGCCCAGCAGAGCTCTCGACAAACAGCGAGCAAATGGCAGGATTGCCCAAGGGGACAACCAGCCCCCCTTAGGCTGTGATCTCCCCCTGA